TTTTGAGACTTTGAAACATCGTGGGAATGTGCCGGAGTTGAAAGAAAGGTTAATTAGGAATTTCAAAATGTGAGCTGTTGAATATATGGTAGATTTTATTATTTTCATAGGAATGCCATCCCATCCACTGGTTGTTTTTGGTTTGAGAAGTCTGGTTGTTGCAATTATTTCATCGCTTGAGGTCGACAGACAGAAGAACGAGTTTTGAAGTTTATTAGTGAGGTGATTTTTCCAGAGTGTTGAATTGTTGAAAGATGAACCTAGTTTTATAGCTATACCGATGAAATAATCGTTTAAGGCGTCCGCAGGAGAACGAACAATTTCACTGTTTGATGTGACGGTTTTGGTGATTTTATTTGTGCTGATAATGTTCTTAATAATCGACCACGTTCTTCTGTTATCTTTTATGTTCTTTACTATGATGTCGCTATAATATTGTTTTTTTAGTTTATTTTTAAATTTGATGCAAGATTGTCTAATTGACTTTAATTCAACTAGATTTTCAATATTCGGATTTTTTAGATATTTTGTATACAGTTTGGTTTTTCTATTTAACATTATTTTAAGATCATCGGTTATCCAAGGTTTATCACGTGATATTTTTTTAATTTTTCTTACTGAGGAAATACGACAGCATTCGTTGAAGTTCTTTACAAAAATCTCTATGAATCGTTGAAACCCGACACTTACATCCTCACAATTTAAAACGTTTGACCAGTCCATGTTTATTAAATATTCGTTCAGTCTGTTGATTCGTTCACTTGTAAACGAGTATAATTTCTCCTTCAGAAAATGGTTCTTGATTCTGTTAGACTTCATATTTACAATTATAAAAATTGGTAGGTGGTCCGAAAGATCACATACCTGTGTACCACATAATTCTACTGCATTTGGTTCGCTCGTGAAAATGTTATCAATGACTGAATTTTTATTTAAACTTATTCTTGTTGGGGTTGTTATTAAAGTTGATAGGTTGTATGATGTTAATAATTGTTGAAGTTGGAATTTGCTGGCATTTGAATCAGCATCAAGTAAATTGATGTTCATGTCACCGATCAGATAAACTAATTTGTTCTCTAGACTTATGATTTGTAGTACCTGTTCGATTTGTTGAAGATACATATTTGCGTCATAGGTAGGAGGCCGATATGTTATTACAATTATTGCATTTTTATTGGAACAATCATTTGTTATTTCTATGCTGAATAATTCTATGCTGCTAATGCTATTGCTAATGCTAATACCGTTATCAATATACAAACCGATTCCACCACCGTGCTTACCAGACCGATTTTTACCAACAAAATCATAACCAGTAATATTTATTAACTTGATATTGTCATCATTCAGCCACGTTTCACTTATACCAATAATGTTATATTTAAAAGAAAAGTTGTTTAAATAATCGAGTAAGTCTTCTGATTTGTGAACTAAACTTCTAATGTTTAAATGCATTAGTTTGAAAAACAAATTGT